ACACTGCTAACAGTACCATGGTGCTAACGGGACCACACTGCTAACAGAACCATGTTGCTAAAAGAAACTCAGTGCCAACAGAACCACTCTGCTAGTTGGACCATGCTGCTGTAGATGGTTTTTTTTTCTCACTTTTGGCGCCTTGTTTTTGTATTTTTGTTGCATTTGCATTTTGTGCTTTGTTATTTCTTGTTGTTTTTATTTTAGCGAGTGGAGACAGTTCTTCTCATCCTGAGCATTTCGTTGCATTGCTGACCTTGTGTTGACCTGCATATGACAAATAAACCTAAACCTGAAACCTTGATGAGCAGTGGCGGCCATGTTGCACCAAACTGACTGCAAAAGGTAATCATGTACATCCAGTGATGAATTCAGTTCACAATATATTTAGCTAATAGAAAGATGGTGTTATATGTGTTCACTCTGTTTGACCGTAACCTGGTTCTGGAATGGTCCTTGCATTAAAAGTGACGTGCAACTTGCATGAGAACGAGGTGGCGGTGCTATTTAAAGGCTTTTACCATTTGATACCAAACACACTGCAGCCTAATTTCTACTACAGCTGGAGAGACTTCATTCAGATACAGTCAGGTGGTGTCTGGTCCAGAAATATATCTCCCTGCACTCCTACTGATCCCTAAATCAGTACTGGGTTTTCTGTCAACGGGTCAGAACCTCGACACGAGGGAGGAAGTGAGTGCAAAGCAGATGGTATCAGTGGCACAAGAGGCAAACAGGAAACACATCCTATGGGTGAAGATTGTAACATGATTAGAACAAGGAGGGTTGTAAATGTTTAAGATTTAAAACAAGTGTGGGACGAAGTAAAAAAAGGAAGACAATAATAATAATAAAAATGTAACTATATTTAGATCGAGTTTAGCACATTCCAGGCAAGAACAATAAAAATGTTTTCCATGTGATCAGAGGCTGTGTCTGAACAAAGAATGAGAAACAGCTGAATCTTTATCAAAACATCCAGGACTCTGGACGCAGCCTGTCCTCAAGGCTCACTGTAAACAGCTAAATGTGCACATTAGCTGTTTTTTAGATCATAAAGAACACAAGGACAACTAGAAAAACCTGCAGCATGCAGGGGTCAGATCTCCACGTTCACATTGCGGAGTAATTTTAAACTCGTATCTTTTTCTAATTGTTGATGAAATTTGTTAAAGATGCTGAAACTTAGATGTTAAAGATAAAACATTCAGAACAAAAGCTGAAATTCGCAAAACCAAAACTAAAATTAACCCAAGATAATATGTAAAACCAGTGTAGCTAAAAACTATAACCAGCCAAACAGTGGCTAAACGCTAAAATCAACTAAACACAAACTAAAAGCTAATTTTAGCAAGGCAGTATTAAAAAACTTAATTCAACAAAGCAGTGGCTAAAACTTAAAAGTAGCAAAATCACAGCTAAAAGCTAAACTTTTCAGAACAGTGGCTTGAAGCTAAAACCAACAGAAAATTAGCTAAATGCTAAAATGAACAAACCATTAGTTAAAAGCTAAAAAGGTGAAGCAGGTATCCTTAAGTAAATTAGAAAATGCAGAGACTTTTTCAAGAATTTGAAGAAATCTAACTGATTTTGAAACTTTTGAAGCTAAAACCAAATTGGTTAGACTTAAAACAACCAAAACAAGAACCAAACTAAAATTAGCTAAAGAAAAAACCTCAAATTAGTTAAACAGAGTAAGTTAAAGACCAGCTAAAAGTCAAAATTGGCAAACTATTTAAAAGCTAAAACATCTTATCTAAGATTAACAAAACATTGGTACAACTAGCATTTAAAAGCTAAAACCAGCAATAGCTAAAAGTTAAAACTAGCTCAACATTAGCTGAATGTTAAATGATCAGAACAGTGACAAAAAGTTAGTAGAGCAATAGCGAAAAGCTAAAACTACCAAACCAGTAGCTAAAAGCTAAACTTGAAGCGGACACCCTGGAGTAGATTTTGAAAGGTTCAAAGTCTTTATTGGACGTGAAAATATTTCACAAAACTTCTATGATTATTATTTTTTTTTAATAAACGTTAAAAATAACAAAAGTTATAGCCATAATGTCCTGAACGAGCTGAAAGATTTGATACCCGAATGGCTGAAATAGCTGAAAGTATGCTGGTGTAGTAACAGTCCAGAAAACCTAGAAGTATCTATAAACAGGAATACAGTTTTATGACGCTGACTCAGCATTCATACAATAAAGCCTTTAATAAAGCTGTTTATGATTAATAAAGAAACCGTGTTAGTTTAAGTGAAATTAGCTCCATGAAAGACCCGAGAGTCAAACCTTTGACTAGACTTGGCCACAGCGTTTCATTGCAGCATGGATTTATAGCTCGTTAAAACTTGTTACAGTGTGGTGTATCACCAGTGGTACTCACCTGGGGCAATACTGTCTGGATTTGGCTCCATGTTTGTACCTGGTGTGTTAGCTGTCACTTGGTCGACACTATTCTTGCTCGTGTGTCCACCTGCGGTGTCATTCTCAGTTTGGAATACCACTCTGTCCTAAAAGAAAAGGTCAAAAACGCTATAAAGAAAAGTTTTAAACCTTTATTTAAATATATGCTGTCAGAAATGTAGGGTTTTGTGGAAAGCTTATCTTACTTTATATAGATAGTTCCCTAAATAACCTCAGTTTGGAGAAATAGTTTTGATTTTGAACAGATTAGCATAAGGCTGATGTTAGCAAGACTATGACCAAAGTGGTACAGCAGCCATATTAAATCAACCCAACCTCAACATTTTCACAGTGAATACTATTTTGATAACTTATACATTTTCAGTGATTTCACAATACACAGCTATTTTGTCAGAAAAAAACAATATATTTTGTCTGGGAGTGTTTCGGACTACCCAAAATGCTAAAGCTAGCCTCTGTTTTGTGGTGGTAAAAACACACAAAACTTTATTGGACAATTTATTAAACAATGTTGTTGTGAACTTCTAAAGAAGTTTTGAGATTGGAGTCGTTTTAAGACAGCAGCTTTGCTCTACTCAAGCTAGCAGTTAGCTCATCAGTCCGATCCAACTTAAACTCGAATTTCACTTCTCAGTTCTCAGCATTAAGACTTTCCTGCTCATCTTAATGATGACATTTAACATTTTCTTCAGTTCTTTAAAACTGTAATAGTGTTTGATCAATATGTTTGAGAACTAAACGATGGTTTTGCACAATTTTTAAGTTGTAAAAGACTATAGCTAAAAGTATCACAAAACACCAAAGTCCATGCTCAGTAATCCAGGTATACAATCCAACAATTTAAACTGTTGGATTTTATACCTGGATTATTGAGCATGGACTTTGGTGTTTTGAACCAGTTTGACATGACTGTCGACGAGGGAGAGGGCAGGCACCAGAGACCAAGGGCTTCTCTGCAGACCAAAAATGTGGGCGTTTCTGGAGAATAGGCGTTTGTAGAGGACAAACACTGATTGGCTGACTGTATTTGCTGCTCTTTAGGTAAGTTACGTTAGCTCTTTTTAAAAACTGAAGCGTTAAATCTGCTGTCAAACACAAGAAGATTCTCTTTTGTTCTTGGGTTGTAGGCTGCACCTGACACAGGTTGGCTTGAGTGTGGTCTGGGTACAATGAAATATGAAGCATCTGAAGCGAAACCTGCTCCCATTTGTCAAATACTCTGATCTCAATTAAAGATCATGAGTCCTGTAACGAGATAACGGTCCAAAACAAACGCTAAAAACAAAAGTTGCTCTTTAAAAGTGCTATGAGATCTGATCTATGAAAAGAGCTGAAACATGGAGTAGGATCGATTGGCCCTTAAAATGTGAGACAGCTGAGGAAGTTAACCAGTAAACAGAAATACCTGCTCCAGTTGCTGAAATCTTACAGAAACTGAACTGCAATCACTCATCTGCAGTGACTGCTTTAAAAGTTGAACAAGAAAATGTGAAGTTAAAGGAAACATCCTTTGTCCCAAAGCCAGTTTAAGTATCATTATTATTTTGTTTACTTTATTTTTTTTCCTTTATGAATTGATTCTAAATATTTTCATATTATTCAACAATCAAAACGGATTTAGTTTTTTAATGTAATAGTTAAGTATTAAAAAACAAACATTTAGCTCTCCCCACTACCCATTTATGTTGCTCTAATTTTGCAATGTAACCGGAAGTTTTGTGTTAAGAGAGGCGGAAAGAGAAGTTATGGAGACGCCGCTAATGTCGAACCGAGACGCCGCCAATGTTGAACCTGA